TTATTATAATGGTGATAATAATTATAATAATAATGATGATTAATAATAATAATAACAATAATAATGAAAACATTAATAACAATGACAATTATAATTATAATGATGCTATTAACAACAATGATAATCATCATTAAAGAATAATAATATATATGATAATTATAAAAAAAACAATGATAATGATAATGATGATGATAATAATAATGATGATGATGATAGATGTTAGCTCATAGATATTAGCATTAATATTTTCGTTAATATAAATATTTCTGCATGTTACAATGTTATTTGCAAAGCTACTTGTTTAAAATTCTCTATGATCTTCTAGGGAGGAAATTTTCAACTAATATACCGAGAATGCCAAAGTGATGAGGTCGTCCTTATGAGGAGTAAATGCTTTCAATTTGGATAGTACAAAATTTCAGATCATCGATAGCCGCCCGGATAAAATGTCTCCAGGGCCTTGAATCGGGGGTCATTTAATATTTTGAAGGTTCTTTCACAATCTGCTAATTTCTTGAATAAGCCATTTATATGCTATTTACTTCTCCGCACTCCTTGGTATTCACTTACATTCTTGGTATTCACTAACATTCTTGGTATTCATTTACATTCTATTACATGGTTAAGGGGGTTCTGTCAGAAGATTTTGCCTTGGTTTGTGTGCGAGATATAATTCATTGTTGTCAACATAATAATGGACTTGAGGACCGTACCTTGAGGGACGCCACAAAAAAAGTTCGATTTCATCAGATATTTCTTTTATGTACACAACTTCTCTGGGAAAGGAGGTCGAGGAGGGAGGAGACATCTTTCACTCAGTCCTAGTAACATCCAAAGTATAATTTTCTTCTTAATTAAGGTGTTGTTTGTGATTTGAAATTGATTAAAATAATGATATTGTTGATAAAGATATTGCTTCCTATGAACTAATAGGAATGATAGCTATCATTATTATGACATCAATAATAGCAATGGAAATGACGAGATTGATGGTGAGGAAAATGATGATAATGATTATAATAACCATTAATAGTAATGAAAATAATGATAATTAAATTTGTAAAAAAATAAAATTAGTAATGATGATTATATCATGGTGGTGATAGTGATGATAACGAAAAAGATGATGATAATAATCATAACTGTAGAAATTATTGACGATGATTATAACGATGATATTGATGCGGAAAAGATAACAAAAAAATAACGGTAACAAATCTAATGATAATGATGATAGAAGTAATAAGCAGAAATAGTGGTAATGTTACTACTACAAGTGAATTATATTAAAAGTAAAATTCATTTAAGGTTTCCACAATATTTCCTATTCAATAATTTCACATGGAGAATTAAATGGATATTCTGATATGAAACACACCCAACCAATTAATTTGTTTCTGCTTTCTCTTACCTCAAACAAAAATCATGATGCCAAATGAATTGCATGTGTATACAACCTATGATTTTTGTAATATCTACAGAATATTCACACACACACGGACGCAGGCGACCAAACACACACACACACTCACACACACATATACATACACGCACAGACACACACACAGACAAACACACACACATCACACACAATTACACGCACACGTACGTACGTGGGTTTCTCAAGTATAGCTGAGATGAAAATTCCGATAGTAGCCGGAAAGAGCCAGTATTAGGTTAGGTCAGAGACAAAAAACAAAAAAACAAAACAAAAAAAAAACAGATTGAGATTGGAATTCGGATCTTTACTGGCTTAAATTACCTGATTTCTTCTAGCTGAATTCAGGATCTGACCACACACACGCATACAAACACATACACAAACATCAGTCTATCTATCTATACATATAAATCTATTTGTCTCTCTTTCTATGTAGGGCACGAAAGAGAGAGCGAGAGAGAGAGAGAGAAAGAGATAAAAAGAGATGGAGAAGGAGAGGAAGAGAAAGACAGAGCAATGCAGATGGCATGACTTAGCGGAATGTGATCATAAACTAGTGATATGTATTCTAAAATATTATTTTGTCTCGAACAAGTCAGGAAATTTTGCATGAATAATATATAATAATCTAGATATCTGTCTTTGTGTATGGATATCATATATTTGTGTGTGCGTGTGTGTTTAAACATAGATAGATAGATAGACATGTTAATATAGATACACACACACATGCACACAAAAAGAATAAACAAAACTGTGCAAATCAAAAGGGCTTCACAAAACAAGATATTCGCTTTGTTTTTGTTTTCGGGAAAATAAAAAAAAATATGGAGCATGCATGAATACTGTAGAATATAACAGAACGGTCTTATTTTCCCATGATATCATGATAACACAGATTTCTACCGTGACTGTTCGCAGGGGCTCTGTAGCATAACATCAGTATGAAATAATATATCTAATGACATTCCAATGCCATTCGATAACTGATGCTGTGATATTGATGTTTGCGCCACGTTCTACGAAAGAGAGAAATTAGGGGAATAAATATTGCTGTCT